TATATGTACCCCCATGTTCATAGCAGCACTATTTACAATAGCTAAGATCTGGAAACAGCCCAAGTGTCCATCAGTAGATGAATGGATAAAAAAGCAGTGGTACATATACACCATGGAGTACTATGCAGCGGTAAGAAAGAAAGATCTCTTAGCCTTTGAGATGACATGGAGGGACCTGGAAAGTATTATCCTAAGTGAAATAAGCCAAGCAGAAAAAAACAAATAATACATGATCTCACTTATATATGGAATATAATGAACATAACAGTCTGAGGAATACAGTAGACCCAGAAACATGGAAGTAGGGCACAGACTGACATCCCTCAGAAGAGGGGGTGGGGGTGGGGTGGGAAAAGATAAACCACAGAACTTATATGCATGTACGCATGACCAATGGACATGGACAACTAAGCTGGGGACGGGGCGGGGGTGGGGTGGGCAAGGGGGTGCCATTGGGGTAAAAAAGGAGAAATATCTTTAACAAAAAAATAATTAATTTTTTTAAAAAAAGAAACTTACTAAGACATAAATGGAACTTGATTCTGACAATTTGAGATGAACCTCACTAATCTGTAATGACATGGTTGTGCAGAAAAACTAGTAATTACTTAGTCATTGTCTTTTACAGTTTGAAATGATACAACTGACACTATCATTATCCACAAATAATAAAAACAGAATTTTCTAATCATTAAAAATAAATAAATAAATAAGTAAATAAATAAATAAACAAATAAATAAATAAAAGAAGAGATAGAAAAACTCTAAACTAGACCCAGGGACTAAAAATCCATGGTCGTCTGGACGCATTTGGATCAGAGGCAGGCAGCTTTCCTCCTGCCGAATCCCTTACTCTTATAGTAATAGGACAGTGTGTTTAATTGATAACTCCGAATTATAAACAAAAGATTAAATTATGCTCCATCATGCTACTGTTGGAGAAGGAAAGCTAGTGTGCAACAAATTTGAAAACATTTGGGTAAACAAAAGATTTGAAAATCAAGTTTCACACTCAGTGGGGGTAGATTTCAGTGGAAAGGAAATTTGACACATTTCTCTCTGATGCCTGTAGGTTTGAGAAGAGTTAAAAAGTCTTCACTGGGAACACAGTTGTCTTTGAATTTTTTAATAACTATTTTTTAGGTAAACTTTTTATTAAAGAACCACATACATGCAAAAAAGTACTTAAATCATAAGTGATGTCTTTTTATAACATGAACGCACTCATGAACCCAGATCATGAAACAATATTCCAGGCGCACCAGTAACCCTTGTAATGCCTGTCAGTCATGATAATCACTCCTGACTCTAACATCAGAGATTGGTTTAGATTTTGGAAATTTTTATGTAATATGATTCAGATTGGTGAGAAAGCTGTTGTGATTTACTGTTCATAACTTGCTTTTCGAGCAAACACATCCTGAGTATTATCTACAAGATTTTCAAGTTCCTTCATCTAAGATTCCTTCCAAGCTCCCTAGGGGTAGAGCTTGGATGATATGATGATGATAATGATGATGACCATAATATTAATTTTAAAACACTAATTGAGCTTCTTAACCTATCTGTCCCTCAGCTTCCTCCTCTGTACAATTGTTATCATAATCATACCTCTCTCACAGAATTGAGATGAGAATTAAAATGTAAACATGTAAGCACTTAGTATGGTGCCTCCCACCTAGCTAGGGCTCAATTGTGTGTGTGTGCATGTGTGTGTGTGTGTAAAATAAGAAATTAAACCAAGACATGGGAGACGTGTTATTAACTCTTCATATATTGCATATTTTTTGCCTAATCACACAGATTGCAAAAGGCTCCAATGTGTGAATAAGTCAGTGGGTGAAGAGGCATCTACTTTCTCTGAAAACTAGACAATCATGTAGGGTGTGCCCCTGAACCATCAGGGAGAAAAAGCATGAGGAAGGGAAACCACGGGGTTTGAATGAGCATCACTTCTATTTCTAGACTTTGATTCGTTTGCAGAAAGTGCTTTACATTTTAAGAAATACTTAAGGGATCCCAGCCAGTGTGGCTAAGTTGGTTGAGCATTGTCTGTACACCAAAAGGTTTCAGTACCATTCCCAGTCAGCAACCAATCAATGCCTCTCTCTCTCTCTCTCTCCCCCTTCTTCTCTCTCTAAAAAATTAATAAAAACATATCCTCAGGTGAGGATTAAAAAATTCTTAAGGGTCTCACACACACACATAAATAAAACTAGTGAAATTGAATAAATTCAGTGGATTATATTGATATCAGTTTCCTGGTGGTGATACTCTGTCATAGTTATGTAAAATGTTACCACTGGGAGATACAGGGTGCAGAATATATGGGATTGCTGTATTCAATTTCTTACAACTTCATTTGAATCTAAAATGATCTCAAAGTAGGAGTAAAAACTACTTGCAGAACTACATACTTTGAGGCCCTAGTCGGCTAGTTCAGTTGGTTAGACAATTGTCCCCATACACCAAGGTTGCGGGTTCGATCCCTGATCAGGTTGCATACAAGAATCAACCGGTGAATACATAAATAAGTGGAACAACAAATTGATGTTTCTCTCTCTCTCTCTGCCTCTCTGTCTCTATTTCTCTCTCTTACTTCTCTCTTTCTAAAATCTTTCTTAGTCTCTGTTTCTCTCTCTCACTTCTCTCTTTCTAAAATAAATAAAAACTGAAAAAAGCCCAGCCAGTGTGGCTGAGTGGTTGAGCATCGACTCATGCACCAAGAGGTCGCCGGTCAGGGCACATACATGCCCAGGTTGTGGGCCAGATCCCCAGTGGGGCGCATGCAGGAGGCAGCCAATTGATGGTCTCTCTCATCGATGTTTCTCTCTCTCTCCCTCTCCCTCCTTTTCTCTAATATCAATAAAGAAAACAAAACCCTAAAAACAAACAAAAAAAGAACTACATACTTTGAGCCCAGGGCTATACTAGGCTCTGAGGATACCGGCAAGACGTAGTTTCCTGCCCTCAGAGAGGATGAAATAGGGATGAGAAGGGGCTTTGCTAGTTTTTAAAAGTATACTCTTTAAGCTGTTTCATTAAATGGTTGGAAAAGATTCACTGAATATAAAAATGAGTATCTAAAAGTCTCCACGTCATCAAGGAAATATAATCAATCGACACTGATAAGATATGCATGTGGGAACTAAAATTAGTAAGCAACAATCCTTCAGAGTTCAGATGAGATGAAAGGAACACTGTCCTCGTGGGGAGGGCTGTCAAGTGTTGGACACAAAGAATAGGAAGATTGCCATCCTGTGCTGAGAGCTTTAAACAGGCTGACCTCATGTCTGTCTTTGTAAGTTAGATGTGTTTCTGTCTGAAAATGGACTATTTTAAATAACCCCTTTATGACCTTATGAGGTTTCATATGTTTACGTTATAAATGTCTTTGGTGGGAAGAGGCTTTTCTTTTTCTTCTTGGAATTAAGAAATATACACAATACACTGCTGATACAATAGAATCCATCTTCCAAGGAAGCATTCTTTAAACTTTTCCAATCTGCCGTATGTTTTCAGATATCTGAATTTTCTCTGACATGGACTGGAGGGGTGGGGTGAGGGTGGGTAGAGGCAGGATATTGTCTTCAGCACAAAAAGCAGTTGCAAGCCGGTACAGGTGGCCATATCATCCATTGTTTAAACCAGGACACTTAAAAAAAAGACTGTTGTAAAAATCTTTTTGGTTGATGTTTAATCTACATGCAGAAAAGCATACATATAAATGTATAGCTTGATGAATCCAGGTGGGTAACCAGCACCCACACTGAGAAAAGAGAATTTGCGGAAATCCCTTGTGCATTCTCTTTTGGTTGCTATACCCCTTCCTCACAAGGGCAACCACTATCCTGACTTTTCTATTGCAGAGATGAGTTTTGACTGTTTTTATACTTCATATAAATAGAATTATACATTGTATACTTGTTCATGTCTTGTTTCTTGGAATTGACATTATAGGTTGATCTATATGGTTGGGTGAAGTTCTATTTATAAATCAATGATTTATAAATCAATGATTCTATTTGCTGTATTATATTATCCCCTGGTATTAATGAATATATCACAATTTATCTATTCATTCTATTGATGATGGGCATTTTGGGAGTTTCCAGGTTGGATCATTACAAGGAGTGCTACTAATAATATTCTAGTACATGTGTTTTGGTGAACATATTTCTTTGGTGTATATGCCCAGGAATGGAATTGCTGGATTCTAAGGTATGCATAAGTTTAGCTGAAGTAGATACTGCTCATTTTTCGAATTGTTCTCATTTAAGCTCCCATCAGCATGACACCAGAGTATTGATTGCTTCACATCCGCCTCAGTAGTCAGTATATTTCGTGTTCAGCCATTCAGATATGTTAGAGGTATTCCCACTTGATGTTAAATGCATTTTTCTGTTGAATAATGAAGTTCCTATCTTTCTTATGTTTATTAGCCACTTGGATATACTCTTTTGTCTATTTAAATCTTTTTGCATATTTTTCTAATCCTTAATCTGCCTTTTTCTTATCAAACTAAAACATCTCTATAAAGAAACCGGGTCATAAGATTAAGAATTTAGTTTTGGATGTGTGAAGTTTGAGATATCTGGGAGCCATCTATGTGGAGATGTCAAGAAACTGTTGGATGATGTAGATTCGGAGCCCAGAAGCAAGTTTTGGGCTGGAGATTATATTTCGGAGTCCCTGCCATGTAGGTGGCGTCTCGGTGAAAGTGAATGAGGTCAGCCATGGAGAGTGCAGAGGGAGAAAAGCCCTGGCACTGAGCCCGAGGGGCCCCAGGGTTTGTTCAAAGTTTGGAGTAACAAAGATGCCAGCAAAAGAGTCCAAGAAGGAACCATTGAGAGGTGGGAAGAGGGGAGAAGCAGAAACCAAGAGAAAAGGGTTTCATGGAAGGGAGTGTTCAGTGTGTCAAACTGTTTATCTTGTGTTGATTAAAACAAACAAACAAAAAACACCCGAGCCACATTGTGTCCCCTTTTGTCTCTCTGTAGCCATCATTGTATACAGACTGCCATGGACCTGGAAATGCAGCAAGCTCCTGATGAAAGGCATCCATGCAGGGCTGAACGCCGTTGCAGCCGTTCTTGCGATTATTTCCCTGGTGGCTGTTTTTGATTTCCACAATGGCAAGAACATCCCCAATATGTACAGCCTGCATAGCTGGGTTGGACTGATAGCTGTCATACTCTACATGTTGCAGGTCAGTGTCTCAGTATATTTATAAACAAGATATAAAAAGTAAGGCAGTTCAGATACTGTACATGTTTTCTATACATAGATGTTTTGTTGGAAATCATCTTCTCATTCCCACTAATCCTTGTTCCTCGTGTTTCCATTAGAAGTATTTTCCCCTGAAGGGGCTCAGGAACTACAGAATTCAATCTTTGAGCTTGAATGTGAGATTCTAAATATGGGCGTATGTGTAAAGGGAAATTGCCATCTGATAGCTTCTAGGCTGCTGTTGTTGGGACTTCAAGTGTCATGTTGCCAAATAAACTAGCACAGACAAGAGCCATGGATTTCTTTTTTTTTTTTATTTAAAAAATTTTTTTTTCTTTCATTGATTTTAGAGAGAGAGGGAGGGAGAGGGAGAGAGAGATAGAAACATCGATGAGAGAGAACATCGATTGGCTGCCTGCTGCACATCCCCCACTGGGGATTTGGCCCACAACCCAGGAATGTACCCTTCTATTTTCTAGGTTTAACTTTATGAGTGAAAAGATGAATTTAGATCTCTTTGTTTCCTTGTTAGATTTTGGAGACTCAGTGCTTATTTTATTTCTCTTCTGTCTTCACTTACAAAAAACACATACTTTTGACAGGACTCTATGTAAACATAAGTTAGGAGAGTAATGGGGATTTGGCTGTTATAGGTCACTAAAGTAAAGCTAAATTTTAAAAGTCTTTATGGCGTTCACTACTTTGTTGAAAAATCTTTGTAAACTGTGTTGAGTTATTTCCCTTCTTTAGTTGGTACAGTGTATATTCAACTGCCTTATTTGGGACATCACTGTGAACTTTAGTTTCCTGTAGACATAGAAGTAAAAAACTGGAGTGAATTGATAAAACCACAAAGCATATTTTAAAATATATGCATGCATGACCTCTCTACAAAAGGACCTCTTACCATACATTTTATCACTGTTCTGCTTAAGACTTTTTGAATGTTGAAGTTAATCTCCATAGGACATTCTTTTTTTTTTTATCCTCACCCAAGGACATTCCTCCACCTTTTGCTCAGATAGAGTGGGCGTGAGAGAGAGAGAGAGAGAGAGAGAGAGAAACATCGACATGAAAGGGATACATCGAGTGGTTGCCACCCGCACGACCAACCAGGGCTGGGGACAAACTGCAACCGAGGTACGCGCCCTTAGCTGGAACTGAACCCGCATCTCTCTGGACCGCAGGTCAACGCTCTAATCACTGAGCCAAAGCGGCCAGTGTGAAAGTTCCTTGCTTTTAAAAGGGCTTGTGTGGCCCGGCTGGTGTGACTCAGTGATTGAGCATTGACCCATGGTTGCCGGTTTGATTCCTGATAAGGGCACATTCCCGGGTTGTGGGCCAAATCCCCAGTGGGGGATGTGCAGCAGGCAGCCAATCGATGTTCTCTCTCATCGATGTTTCTGCCTCTCTCTCCCTCTCTCTCTAAAATGAATGAAAGAAAAAAAATTTTTTTTAAATAAATAAATAAAAATAAAAGGGCTCGTGTGGTTAGACTGGGCTGCTCCGATAATCCAGGATTATCTCCCAATCATAAGATCTCTAACCTTAATTACACTTGCAAAGTGTCTTTTGCTAGTAACATAACATATTCACAGCTTCCAAGGATTATGGCATAGACATCTTTTGGGGAATTGAGGGTCTTGATTCAGACTACCACAACTATAAATAAAAAAATAAAAGAAATTATAAATAAAATTAAAAGCTAGTTTTTTAGCCCTGGCCGGTGTTGCTCAGTGGTTAGAATATCAGCCTGTGAACCAAAGGGTCTCAGGTTTGAGTTCTGGTCAAGGGCATGTGTACCTGGGTTGCAGGTTCAATCCCCAGCTCCAGTCAGGGTGCATGTGGGAGACAACCAATCGATATGTCTCTCTCACATCAGTGTTTCTCTCTTTTTCTCTCTCTCTCTCTCACCTCCCTTCCTTCCCCTGTCTCTAAAAATCAATGGAAAAAAATTCTTGAATGAGGATTAACAACAACAAAAACTGGCTCTTTAAAAAACTAAAATAAAATAGATAAACCATCGTAAACCTGGTTTAAAAAAAAAGGAATATGCAGCATTCAGAATGAGAAAGAAATATAATCATAGATATAAAAACTAGGATAGATGATTAAATTTTAATGTATGGTAATATACTTTAAAATCTTAAAGAAAGAGAAAAGGGTCACTTTCCTGCCAAATACAGACTATCAAATTTGACTCAAGAAGATTTAGAAAACCTAAACAGACCAATAACATTAGAAGAAATTAGTAAGGTCATTTGGAATATATCACTAAAAAAAGACATCAGGTCCATATTATTTAAGCCTTTGACCTTCAATGAACAGATACTTTAAACTGTACACTGGAAGAAAAAGGCTCCTCTTAGATGGGCCCCCGTGCACTGCGCACTCTCACACCTCGAGTGGCAGCTCTGACGAGCAACACCTGGACCGACATCCAACAGCAGCCACCAGCTTAAACGATGAAATACTGAAGGTATTTCCATTAAAAAATAAATAAGACATAGATGCTTGCTCCCATTGTCGTTCAACTTTGTTTCAAAGGTTTTCACTGATGTACAAGATAATGAAAGAAAATCTGTATAAATAGTAGAAAATTTGTTGAAATAGCACACCAAAGAACTTAAACTCCCATATATCAAGGTTTATTGAAAAGCTACTATAATTAAAACAGGATGGTGTTGATGCTAAGATAGAGAAATAGCCCAATGAAATAGAGGCCAAAACCAAACCTACACATATGTGTGGTGACTTGGTTTATGATGTGAAGGGGGCATTGCAAAGCAATGGGGAAAGGATGTCAACAAATGATGTCAACTGCATATCCATATGAAAATAACATGAATCTTGACTCCGGCTTGACACTAATGTCATTTCCAAATGGACTGTAGATCTAAATATTATGGGGGAAACTAACAAGCTTTCAGAGGGAAACAAAATAGTCTTCGTGATTTTGGGGCAAGGCAAATGTTTCTTAGAGAGGACAGAAAAGAATCAGTTTTGAATGAAAATTTAATATATTCTATTAAATTAAATTTAATAACTTGAGTTCTTCAGAAGACAATGTTGAGAAAGTGAAAAGACAAGTCATAAAAGTGGTCTTATTTGTGCAAAGAATGGTCATCCAGCATGACTGAAGACCAGCCCAGGAAAGCACAGATCCCTCACCTTAATTGAAGGCAAGAAAGGACATCAGTTGTTGGCACTGTAGGACAAGTCCTGAAGGCCCTAGAAAGTGATAAGTACAGCCACCTCTGGAGGAGGCCTGCCTGATGTGTATCATGGAGACTGCAGAGGAAGTGGGTGATCACCCTGGGTCCCAGTGGTGTGGACACACAGGGTTAGGGATGGATGCATCCACCTCTGTCATTTCCAGGTGGTATAGATCAGAGGTGTCACCTTGGTCAGAACACAGATGGCAAGAGCCTACACATAAACTGCAACATATCTCAAGCCTTGAACAACACGAGTGGTGTTCACTCCAAGTCAGTGTGGCAGCTTGGTCCTGGTGGTCCAGTACAAAGGCCAATGGACAGACCTGCTCAGCAGACTGGATTCAGGGCCTGGCCATGGGGGCTGGGATAACTCCACAGGTGCAAGTTCCAGAGCTCCTAGAGGCAACTGATGGAACCTACATGTGTTTGAAAGTTAAAGGAGCGTAGAAGACCCCAAAGGAGAGAAACAGGGACTGTGGTACCCAACAAAGATGGCACTGCCAGCTCAGTGTGTCTCAGGCACTTCAAGGAGATTTAGAAAATTTCCCAAACAAATACTTTGATTGGGGTCCCCTGAAACAAAATCCTGATTCCCCCCATTTGCCTATGTCCAAAGTTAGTACTGGATATAAAACTAACATCACTCACTTACATATAGATTGGATAGAAGAGCTGAGATAAACACAATTTTTTGGCCTGAGTGAAATGGATAAACAGTCATTCTCTGAGGTGGGAAGCCTGGGGGAGGAACAGATTTCAGGGCAGGAGTAAGAATCTTACAGGCGTGGAGGGAACAGGAAGAGGTTAGGAAAGTACACAAACCGGAGCTGTAAGATACAGAAGGCCTGAGTATCTAATGTCAAATGTGGTGACAGCACCATATTGTATAACTGAAATGTTGAGACAGTAGAACTTGTGTTAACAGTGACAAATAAGATAAATATGTGAGGTGATAGATGTGTTAATTAACCAAGTGGAGGGAATCTTCTTACTGTGTACATATATCAAACCATTATAAAGTACACTACAAATACCTTATAATTTCACGTCAGTTACACCTCACTAAAGCTGAAGTTTAAACATTTAAAAAAATAATAAAAAATTTGTGACTATTTTTTTCTGTCTGCAGATCATATAATGTATTTCTAAAAACCCAAGAGATGATTACAAGTGATAAGAGAATTTGGAAAGGTGTCTGGATATAAGATAGCCATGCACAATCCAATAACTTTTGCCAATACTAGAATAACAAGTAGAATCCAATGAGAGTATAAAATCTATGTGTAGAATATGTAAAATACTGTAAAATCTTATTGGAAAAAAAGCATGGTATGACAAGAGAAATACCATGTTACTGAAAGAGAAAAATTAATATAGAAGCATCTTTTCCTCTTCAATTAATATTTATGTTTAATATGACCCTAATTCTTAGCCCAGTGGAAGTCTTAAATTTTATGCAGAACAAATATCCAAGGATATCAAGGATAACCATGAACATTTTGAAAAGGAGCGAAGGAAGACCTGCCTTAGTAAAAACAAGTTATTAACACAGGAAAAACAAAATGCATTCATGGAAAGAGAAGAGAGAACAGAAAGAATCCGAGTGTGTATGAGGACCTTTTCTATGACACAGTGATATTCAATTTAGTGCAGAAAGAATGCCTGGAAAATGACTACATTCTAGCTTTAATTTTTTGTTGTTGTTGCATAAAATACTTTGTTTTTAAGTATTTGCATTGCTTGTCCATAGATGTGACAGAAC